TACATGTGATAATTTTTAGAACCAAATACTGTACAAGAGTCTACAAAATACTGGAATTTGGGTGAAAATACTGTTACAGTACATTGTTCATTAAAAAACTGTACAAAAACCTATAAAAATATTGACGAAAAATCAATGTGAGAGGTTAATTTTTAAAAAAATAATTTTCACATCAACGTACAAGTGTACCACTGCATGCAGTGTTATATATATAATTACTCATTTCAAGAAAGTTTTGCAGCTTTAAAAATTTCAGCAATCCCTATGGTCAATGCTGAACTTGGTATACAGACTTCCAGGGTACAGAGTGCAAGAGTCTGGTCGCCTCAAGTCATCTGCTTTTTTTTAAATGATGTTAAAACCATTTCTCTCACTTCATGTTAAAATGGACAATACTTATGCCTAAGCAGAGAAAACAAGTCAGAACTTAGATTTTGTGTTGCTGTCATAATGCTGCTCCGATTCTTGTGAATGTCGTTTCCTCTTTGAAACGTCTTTAATTTCTAATAACAAAATTTTAACTAATTACAGTTGAAAACATAGGTAATCAAAGATTACGAAGCTCACCTCCACGAAGGTTATCTATAAGTAAGGCAAATCTCACATCATATTTTTTCTAGTTAGTGTTCATCCTAAGATCAATATCCATACAAGTTTGGTTTAAGAAGGACTTATAGTTACTTGGAAATAGATCTGCTCAAAAAACTTTTAACCTGTTTACTAATCAAGAAAATTTTGGTCAGTTCAAACATCCAAAGCAAGTCTGGAAGTTTTCATCCTGGACTTGCTCCTAAAACTTTAACCGGGACACCGACAATAATGCCGATGCCAATGCCGGGGGTATAGCATAAGCTCATCTCGACTTCGTCGAGGTGAGCTAAAAAAATCCTTAATGATGGTGCCATTAAAAATATTCAGCCTAACAAAATGTAATTATCGCTGGAATGTTTCACACCTTCATTCACGATGCTTTGTTTACATTAACCAAGTGCAGTAAGTCACACATCAAATGACATTTCTGGTGTCAAGAATGAAAGAAAAATGGCGGTTTCCAGTAAAAAATTCAAAATAAGGTACATATTTTCATTTCCCATGAATTTTGGTGTACCGCCATGAGCCCGTGAATGGGATAAAAAATATGTGACATTTTGTGTATAGCCAGTACACATCACATGTATGATATACATTTCTATATATGGAAGCAAGTGACATACAGACAAAATCAGGATGTAACTGACACTCACCAATTTTAAGTCCTCTCTGCCATCTGAAGTTGACACGCCGAACACTGATGCGATAATCTGGTTCTATTTTTCGACTGGTTACCACTCCTATCACCCCAGAATCTCTCAGTCGCAACAATCTTCTTTCTTCAAGCCTTAATATAGCTTGTTTCCTTCTGTCTAAAGGTTTTAAATCTTCTATGTCACCGGAAACTGTTCAAAAAATTTAGCAGTTTTGATCAAAATTACTGAAATATAATACTTTTCTCCTCTTACTTCAATATTATTACATTAAAGATTACTATAGATTCCTTATATTAGGTGGGTACTTAATATCGTGAAATGGCCCTTAGACGTCAATTCGTGAGAAGAATAATTCCCAAGTGGACTGCTGATCAAGAGAATTTACGTGGATTTCAGACCCATGGAAATAACGGTGAGTAATTTTATTTCATGAGTGGTGCTTCTCAGGAAATTACACATATATATTTCTTCATGTATATTTAGGAATCTGCAGTAGTTTACTGCTTTAATGTTAGAACTTGAAAACAAAGGCCCATAGGCCACATTTCTCACCTTCACTTATTCCTCTTCCTCACAAAAATATGTGGATAAATCAACACATCATTGAAGCCATCAACTTTAATACCATAATTTCAACTATTTTAACTAACAGATATTGGGGTTTAAAAATTGTATCTCTGTTGTTCTTGCAAAAACTTATGCATTTCTTATACAAATTATGAACTCTGGTATCAACTGGTATATATTTTTTTCTACAGTTTGAAAATAAAAATTTAAAAGATAATATGTGGGAAAAAGATGTCTACAGACATACAGATGACATGGTGATTCCAATATACACCCCAAAATTCGTTTTTGGGGTATAACAAACTAATCAGCTTATTTTTTAACCTTCCAAAATTAGGGCTGGGTAAATATTTTAATGGCAACTCAGCATTACCTCTAAAATTTCTTTTGAGATTTATGTCTAAGACAATTCCACCATCATCACCATCATGTACGTCCACTTCTGAGTGATAATCCATCGAGTGTCTCTTAACCCCTGTAACAAGAAAGCAAACAAGACCATGTGCAACAATGCTAACCTAAGAGTCTCACAAATCATTTTATTTTCTTATTCTTATTATATTTTTTTTTTTTCATTTTCATGTTAAATACTAAAATCTGATTGCTTTAGATGCATTTTACAATTTGTAATGTTATCATCAGCATTAGTAACACACTTTACAATGGGTAACACAACTTAACAATATCATCAAATATTTGTAAATTATGCCACAGAATTCTCAAAACGTTAGTTGTGCATTTGAAAGAAGCCGAATAAACTTGACGTCAATCAGAACTTGCGTTTGATGTAGCTTTATTGAAAACAAGAAATAACAGATGAAAAATGCTTGCGAGTGCAGAAATAATGAAACTTTAGATGATATTCTGAGTATCAAATATCAATAAAGAAGTTGGTAAATCTTTTTTGAAGAATTCTTATTGAGAAAAACAGAAGCAGGGAGTTTGAAAGCTTTCTAAGCATGAACTTAACAATGATATCCAAATTTTTTTTGCTGTTACCTGAGGATACTTCCATATAAGTTTCATATTTTCAGGCACAGTGGTTCTTGTGAAGAAGATTTTTAAATGATGCCATTAATTTTTCATGAATTCATAATTATCTCCCCTTAGAAGAAGGTATGGCCCTTCATTTGAAGAAACTTGAATCCCTTTTACCCAAGGATACTTTGTGGCAAGTTTGGTTGAAATTGGCCCAGTGGTTCTTGAGAAGAAGATGAAAATGTGAAAAGTTTACAACAAGGACAACAACAAAAACGACAACGACAACAGACAACAGACAAATTTTGATCAGAAAAGCTCACTTGAGGCTTTGGCTCAGGTGAGCTAAAAAAGTAGGTCACCGTGACCTACTTTTGAGTCAATATGATATGAGGTCCTTATATGCATCAACAGACAAGATTTGATGATCCTAGTCCTTATAGTAAGCAAAATATCAACATTTTAATAAAATGTAATTTTTGGTCAACTTTAAAGTGACCTTGAGACCACGCACTTTGCCCCAGGGTGATTCCCCATGCAAATCTTAATTTACAACATATCCTCATCCTTGTATGTGAGTTTGAGTTTGGTGATAATCTGCCCTGTGGTTCTTGAGAAGATTTTTTTGCAACCAGTACTTTTGGTTTTATTTACTAATTATCTCCCTTTGTTTAAGGGTCACAATCCTAGTTTTAGTATAAACGGAAGCCCTTGGGCGAAGGATACCCTGTGACAAATTTAACAATAATTTGGCAAGGGGTTCTTGAGTTATGGCCCATATTTTAAAAAGTTTACGCACACCGCACAAATGGCCATAGCATTAGCTCTTTGAGCCTTTGGCCCAGAAGAGCTAAAAATCAACTTTAATCAGTATGCATCATTGTTCATAAATCAAAATTGTCATGATGTGTATAATTTAGAATCTATACTACCCCAGGATGTTTTCATATAAGTTTCAGCTTTTCTAGCCCAGTGGTTCTTGAGAAAAAGACTTTTTAATGACTCCACCCTATCTTTATCTTTTCTTAATTATCTAGGGGCTAGGCCCTTCAATTTTACAATTTAAACCCCCTTTCAACCAAGGATGCTTTTTTCCAAACTTTGGTGAAAATTGGCCCAGTGGTTCTTGACAAGTTGAAAATGTGAAAAGTTTACAGATGGATGTACAGACAGATGGACAGACTGACGGACAATGGGTGATCAGAAAAGCTCACTTGATTTAAAAGCATGTGAAGAGGATTTACAAAGAAATAATGCATTTCACTACATAATCAATAGAGCCCCGCCCTAACACCAGAGTCCCTGACCCAAGGGCCAAAAAATTCACAATTTTGGAAGAGTCACCCTTGCTCATTATAACCATGCACTTAGCATGTTTGCTTAATACTCAGAGGCAGAGAAGAAAAGTAGATTTACAAAGAAATGATGTATTTTCACTCTATATTCAACAAAACCCAACTCTAGCACTAAAATCCCTGACCCAGGGGATTCAAATTTCATAATTTTGAAAAAGGTATCATCTCTCATCATAACCATTTTGTAGTTTTTTGCTTAATACCCTGGAGCAGAGAAGACAATTTTCAAAGAATTAATGCATTTCAACTACATAATCAATAGAGTCCCCTCCTCCTTCCCCACAACACATGAACTCCTGTCCCTGTGGCCACAAATTTGACAATTTTGGAAGAGAAACATTTGCTCATTATAACTCTGCACTCTGATCATCTGCTAGCTACCCAGGAGCAGAGAGGAAGATTTTCAAAGAAATAATGCATTTTCACTATGTAATCAATAGAGCCCAGTCCTAACATCAGAGCCACTGAACCAATAGTCCAACAAAATCACAAGTTTGTACAAGGCACCCTTGCTCATCATATATAACCATGCACTTTGCATATTTGGTTTATACCCATGGGCAGAGATTTTCAAAGAATTAATGCATTCCAATCACATAATCAATAGAGCCTCATCCTAACACCAAAACCCTTGACCCAGGTGCCAGGAAATTCAAAACTTGGGAAGAGGCACCCTTGCTAATCATAAATATGCATATAGTTTGTTTACTTAATACTGAGGATAAGAAAAGAAGATTTTAAAAGAAATAATGCATTTTACTTAATAATCCATAGAGCCAACCTCCCAGCCCCCACCAGAAGCCCTGACACTGGGGAAACAAATTTCACAATTTTGGAAGAGGCACCCTTACTCACCACAACCGTACACCTAGTTTTTTTCTGCTAAACATACAATATAGAAGAAAAAGATTTTTGAAGAATTTGTTCATTTGCACAATATGATCATTAGAGCCCCACCCTAACTCCCAAACCCCTGATCCTGTGGCCTTGAATTTCATAATTTTTGTAGAGGTTTCAATGCTTATTAATATCATGCCAACAATTTGACTGCTTGATGTTCAGGAGTAAAGAGGAAGATTTTTGAAGATAGCATTAATTTTATAGGTTTTATTCCACCCCTCAGGCACCTGGGGGACAGGGACCATGAAATTCACATTTTTGTTCTCCTCCATTCATTGATGCGATAAGCAAAAATTGGTTGAAATTGGTTCAGCAGTTCAGGAGAAGAAGCTGAGAATGTTCAAATGTTAACATAAGACAAAGAGTGACAGACAAAAACAGATAGCAATAGTCATCGGAGTGACTCAGGTGACCTAAAATTATATACTAATCCATTCATCCAATTTTTGTTAGAAGCATCTTTAAGTCATGGGAGTTATGATATAAAATTTCATTACACAATTGAGAAAGTAAGTTACCATCTAGACATATGTGAATTTATGACCTTGACCTTTGACCTCTTGACCTCAAATTCAAAAGTGGTCTTTTTTTAAATCATAGAAAGTCATGATATAAAATTGACTTAAAAAGCTCAAAGTCATCTGGAAACCAAAGTTTGGAATGTGTGACCATGACCTTTGGCCTTAAAATCAAAATGAATCTCTTTTTAATCATTAGGCATTAAAAAATTTCATTGCAAAAGTTAAATAACTTTTTAAGATATTGTCCAAAAACAAGTGTTACACATTGGCAGAATGACAGATAAATGGAAGGAAGAATAAACATGCAGATGGGGGACAACAAGGTCTGATTATTGTACATCTTTTAAAGAGTAAAATATAATCCAGAAAGGATTTGAACTATGAAAATAAAAAACCTAATTTTGGCATATAAAGCAAGTTGACTTTGTTTTGTATTTCATGCATGCAAACATCACTTACTTGACTCAGTGGAGTTTGGAGGTGGTTCACTTTGAGAGGACTTGTTAGAAATATTGGAGGTTGATCGTGTGAATTTCCCCTGAGCCTGCTCAGCTGGCCAAGATGGATAACGTAGGTATGGTTGTCTGCCCGAGTCTACACTAGATGAACGTGGAATGGGTGAGCTTCCTTTAATTAACAATTCAGTCTATTATTAAGGGTCATTTATTGCATTATGATAGTACCTAAGTAACCATGTTACTAATGGTTACTGTGAATGTTCAGGAACCAGATTTTACAGAAAAACATTTTTTTTACTCCCAAATTGCTCCAGGAAATCAAAATTTTGAAACTTTATTGCACATCAACAGGACACTCTCAGTAATATTAAAAATTATGAATGGACTACTGCAAAATAATGTAAGAGGATTCAGGGAACAAGGCTTCTGTAGACAAATGCATTTTTTAACCCCCAATCGCCCTGAAAATTCAATGCACATTTACAAGACACCCCCAATCATATCATATTCCAAAATATGAATGGGCTACTAAAAAAAATGAACTTTGAGTTCAAGGAAGAAAAAGAGCATTTTTTGTTCCCTTATTGTCCCCCGCCCACCTCTCAGGGTGATTTGCAAAATTCTAAAATCTTTTTCAACATTCACATGGCACCAATCATATTTTAAAGGATGAGTTGGCTGCTGCTTAAAATGTAGGAGTAGTTTTAGGAAGAAGATAGTTTGTCTGACTGATAGAAGGAACGGAACAGGATGACAAAATACAAGAGGCCCATGGGCCACATTGCTCACCTGATGCTTCTATAACAATATGACTAATCATGGCTTTGCCTTTCTTGAACAGAAGATTTTTTCAAGATGATTCCTATATACTCTTTATAAGACTAATCATGGATTTGCTGTTTTGAGCATATTTTTTTTTTCAAAATGATTCCTATATATTCTTATGTAAAACTTTGACCCTCTGTTGTGCCCCTCAACCCCAATCATTAAACTACTATAACATGTATAATTCTGCACATAGAAATATTATGGATTCTGTTACACTGTAGCCCTGAAATTTTCTTTTATTGGTATGATTGATTAATATCAAAACAGTATTGGAAGAGAAGTACACAGGTACTAGCAAACATGAGAATACATGTTTAAAATATGTAACGGACTGACATATTAGCCCGTTACTTACCAATCGTCAGTCATGATGCTTTACCAACCGAACTTTTTAACTCATTCAGAAATTCTTGAGATAGTGAAATAATCTACTTTCTATTCAGATGAAATTAATGATAATTCTCAAAAACTTTTTTTCATACCAAGAGGCTATATTGGCCACTGACATCCTTGTCATTGGGTTATTGAATTCTTAGAGCATGACGAAAGGAAATTAAAGTGTTCAATATTCTGATATTTTATTTCTATTCAGTCAAAATATTGTAAACAAAATAAATAAATAAATAAATAATACTTTTTTTCAAAAAGAAATGAGAGCTGCCCTTATACTTGTGACATAAATAGATTGTAAATGAAATAAATTTCGTAATCTATTTATTTTGTTTTAAATACCGCCTAAATTTTTATTTATGCAGAATTCGTTTTACATTGCCACCCTCGCTTTAATGCCAAAATCTGTCTTGGACAAAAGTTGGCAATATATCGAGTAGTGTTGTACCGATAATCAGAAAACATCGACTGTCGACGAAAAAATGCTACCGATTCCGATGATCGATTATAATTTTTCATAATCGATCATCGGAAACATACTTCTAATACAATACATTCTGGAATAATCCATTTCTGGTTTAAAATTTATTTCTTCTCAATGAAAGAAATGGCGTCTGCATCTGATACTAGCCCACTAGCATGAAGCAGAGGTGATTAAGAACCAAAAGGTGCATATATGGGGCCTATAAAAAAAATTATGTTTGTTTCCTGTAGCCCGACCGACCCATTCAATTTACCCCCGGGTGGATTTTTTTCCCTGCCAAATCTGTTTGCTCTTTGGTTCAAATGATCAATCAGCTGATTCTTTTTATTCAAAAATATTAATTGTATCTTTTATTTGAGATATAAAATATGCAACTTAGTCAACATTTACCTTAATTTAAAGAGTAATCAATTCGTTTTCTGCTGCTAGGCAGCCATGTTGGTTGTCCACTTTAAATATAACACCTGGATAATTCAGTCCCACGATGTTTGACCCCCTTATTCATAAGCAAAAAAAAAAAAAAAAAAAAAAAAAATCCCGACCTACCTTGATTTTTTGGGAATGTTACAGGAAACAAACATAATTTTTTTAGGCCTCTTGAAAGTGTAAAAGAAGCAAAACAACAAAGAAAATAATATATATTATATATATTTATGTTAAAGAAATAATATGAAATAATTGTAATAGTCTGCTTTTTGTATACAAAACTATGAAATAATATGAAATAATTGTAATAGTCTGCTTTTTGTATACAAAACTATGAAATCCGATTATAATTGGTAAAATCGCATCGGAAGCAGTAACCGATTCCAACCGATGATCGATTATGAAAATGAACTGATGTCCCATCACTAATATCGAGGTAATACTGTAGTTTTTAACAAAAGTCTAATTTCAATGCAGATGTATAAACAGAGGACTATATTTCTTTGTGAACTGATAAAAATTAGCATTTCAATATTTCCAATCAATCTTGCGAGTCCTAATGTTTATATATTGGCATCCTATCTCTAATTTGAATTTTGTTTATTAAGGTAACACATGTTAACAAAAAAAATAGTGAATTGTTCTGAAGAGCCAAGATAAACAAGAAATTGTAGATGGTAGTAATTAGACAGGGGTGCCACTGAAGCAGGACGATAGCATACAAGGCTGACTTGCATCACCTTGAAAACTCTTCTGTTCAGAATTTGGTTTTCGTATCATATTGGACAACAATTATGAATGCAAGGATATCATGTAAGCAATCTCAAGGAAAAAATGCAGATGTACTTTCAATCTGAGAACTTTTTACAGTGGTATCCTTGAGTTTAGTGAGTTACCACTATTGAAATGAAGTTGTTACAGATATATATCTGCTGAGTATAAAATTAATATTCGGATTTCCCATCTAATTCACTCTGAATTAGATGATGTTATCAAAGGAAGTGCATGACATTAAATTCACCCAATTTGGGTTTACCCAAATCTAAAAATTAATTTTAATGGTTATCGTCCTTGTAAAATTTATCAATTGATTATTGCCCCTTTTAGGATATGCTTTGAGGGCTCCTTAGTTGCAACTTCCTTTCTCAATTCTGTAGCATCAACATGCGTCGGCAAAAGAACTGCGAACGATAGTAATGTTCTCCCGCCTACCTCCAAGTCAATTTTCGAAAGTGAACATTTGAATGATTTTTCATATCTATATAGATATTTATATGAATTTTCTTAAAACATTACTTCTTTGGGGAAAAAAAAAGAGAGTTAACTCTATAATGTTGGTAAAACGTGTGTTTTTCACTATAGAAATCAATGGAAAATATTTTTAAAACATCTCCCCCCCCCTCCCCCCCCCCCCCCCGTGAAACAAAAATTCCTTTTTACAGGTAATATGGACTGTCATTTCACAAATTCATACCAAAGCTTTCTGTGTTTCACCGGGGGGGGGGGGGGGGGGGGGGGGGATGTTCACAGACAAAAAACTACAAAATGCTTATTTTTTCACCAACTTCAAAAGGGTTTACTACTAACATATTGTATTTTATTAATGTTATATGTTTAATTTTATATGAGTAAAACATAAGAAAAAATTTTAGGAACATTTATTCATATCCAAGAATATTTTAAAATATGGTGAAGCTTTAAAGCCCGATTTCAATGAAAAATATCATCTACCCCCCTTATTTAAAGAGCTGGTAATAGGGGTAATTAACTATCTAACACTGGAATTAAAATTATCAGTCAATTACCATTGAACTGTTCTTTGCATTCAACAAAGATTTTACGACCAAATTGCCATAAGTATTGAATTAAACGGGTGTAAAATAGTAGGCGGGAATCGAGAGTTAGTGTGCATAGTTCTTTTCTGTATTGTTATTGTGTATAGTTAATGTGAAACAATTTTTAGCCATTTTACAAGTGATTTTCAGATTTTCCCTCAAACTGTCTCCTCTGCTCAGTGATTTCCTAAATTGATAACTGGAGCCAAAGAGACTGAATATTATAGATAAATTTCTTTAGAAGTTTGTATACCTTGACTATGAGTGGGACTGACTGGTGTGCGATCTGCTGATCCTATAACATGGCTGATACAGCTGTTAATGCTTTTCTTCAATTCCTGATTTATAATAAAGAAGCAGTTTATAATGAATCCAAAAATTGATATTAAATGTGAAAACTTTCTCTCAGTTTTGCTACTGGTGCTATAACTTGCCTGATATTCTTCATCTGTCAGACATGCAAGAACTTTGGGTTCACATGCAACAATAAGAAAATCCAGTCCTTGACTAGCCCATCTTAAAAAAAGAAAATGACTATATTTTTCTTTTTTACTTCTGCGATTAAAATAATAAAGTTTTGGCTTTTAAATCACTTAATATCAGCTTGTTTTTGCATAGGTTTGAGAAAGTTGTTACACTCTTTGGTCAACCTTTAAGTTATGAACTCCCAATAACTCTTGACTTCTATTATGACCAAGAGAAAAATTCCTAGGTCAATCTTTAAACTTTACCAAATGCCTTCATCAATTATCTCTATTATGACAAGCATTTCTCTCTTGGAAAGTATGGATGCATTTTTATCCATACCCATTTTTGAAATATATGGAGATAACGAACAGTATTCAAGCTCAAAAGTCCATTAATCAATACAAAATAGGAGCAGAGCAAACACGGACCTCCAAACATCAGAGGTGGGATCAGGTGCCATGGAGGAGTGAGCATCCCCTGCCGACCGGTCACACCCGCCGTGTGCTCCTTGTCATGATCAGGAAATAACGGGAAAATCCGTCGACAATTCAGTGTGTAAATAATGGCCTAACAAATGGTGTGAAAAACGTCAGTCAGCATTTGATTCAATGATAAATTGTATTTGCTGACAAGGTCATTGTATTGACCATAGAACTTACGAAATGATGACTTTAAACGAGACAGCTGATATTCTTGTTTCATCAACTTATTTGTCAATAATTTACCTCGTTTTAGAAATTGTACATACGTAGAGCATGCTCTTGCGTATCGAATCAACTGAGAGATATATACCCCGTATGCAGGTGATGAAGGTATATTGCTGCATAAGTAAGGGAAGTTGATGATTGAAAAGTTAAAGTCATCACATTTATCATAAAGCTTTGTTGTTAGATTACCATTAACGTCTTTTTCAAGTAAAATATCCAAATATGAAACAGATGTGTCAGACTCTGTGGTATCTTTTATCTCAAGCTCACAAGGATATATCGTATCGACATGAGAATGGAAATAGCCATTGTTAATTGACAATACGTCGTCGATATATCTAAATGTCGAGTTGAAGGCCACAGCAAGTGTTTTCTTCTTTTCACGTACAAAATTTTGGACAAATTCTCCTTCATATGAATACAAAAAAAGGTCTGCTAATAACGGGGCGCAACTGGTACCCATGGGAATTCCAATAGATTGTTGGAAGACCTGGTCTCCAAAAACCACATAGATATTGTCAATCAGAAACTCAAGCATCTTTTTAATGTCAACTTCAGAGTACTTGTGTGAACAATCAGAATGTTTTTTGACAAAATAATTTTACAAATGACCAATGACAAGGTAAGTATATTTAAGAGTTCCATTTTTATTGAAAAAGCAGCTGTCAATGATATCAAAAAGCCTCGACTTTAATTTATCGTGGGGAATGGTTGTGTACAAAGTTGAAAAGTCGTAAGTTTTTAAGCTGTTGATTTTGGTAAAATCTTGTGATTTCAAATTTTCCAAAAGTTCCTTGGAATTTTTAAGTATCCACATCTGATTTATATGACCTATAGGTCAAGATTATGATTTATATGACCTATAGGTCAAGATTATGATACACACTCAGGTTATAAGCATTGTTTGTGTGAAGTGGAAACTCCCAACATTATTCTCCATAAGAAAAATAAGGACCAGACATGAATTCGGAACTTTTTCTGTCAGTGACCTTGAACTTAAAGAAATGACCTTGGGTCAAGGTCATGACAAACCCTCAGGTCATAGGCAATCTTTGTGTAAAATGGGAACTCACCAAGTTTTTCCACAAGAAAGATATGGACCGACACAAATTATGAACTTTTTCTTTCAGTGACATTGAACTTGCCCAAATGACCTTAGGTCAAGGTCATGACACACTCTCAGGTCTTAAACAATCTTTGTGTAAAGTAGTAGATTCTAATGTTCCTCCTTAAGAAAAATATGGACCAGAAACATTTGCACAGATAGACAGACAGACAGACGGATGGACAAGTTGATTCCTATACCCCCCAAACTTTCTTTGAGGGGGGTATAATGAACAAAACTGATTCAGCAATTTCAAATATGCTGAAAATGTTCAAATCTTTAAAAAGATGCATAACCAAGTTTAGGAACCCAGGAATCATGAGTCATACAAGATAAAAGATTAAAGAACTTGAAAAATAATTATGAAATGGTTAATGGGAGATTATCTCTTGATAAAAATTGATAGTGGACAAGGTGATTTCAATATTTCCTCCAAAACCTTATTTGTAGAAGATATTTTAAGGATATCATCAATCATTTGATGCTAACAGCTTTTTATCACCAGTATTTTTTTAATTTTGGTCTTACATGTAGGGGACTTATAAAACTTTATAAAACTTCAGAAGATTCTTATTTTACAAGGACTATGCATAATTTGAGGACTTTATATAACTGTAACAAGGATGTATGAAGTAATCTATAACGAAATTTTAATGTAGAAGTGGAAAAGACAAAATTTTTTGAATGACCCTCAACAGTATCCAGCAAAAAATGGGTTTTACTTCAGTCCTACAGTGAACAAATTTTGTTACATAAATCAGCATCAACATAATAAGCATCAGCATCCAGCTAGCATCAGGATCAGCATTTAAAAAACAGCATTGCCAGGATCAGCATCAGCAAGCAAAGGATAAAACTAGCATTGACCTACTTAAATTCAGCATTGACCAACTAGCATCATAAAATCAATGAGTTTTTTATTTCAGTGAAAAATTAAAACAAGAGAAAGAAAACTTGTTAAATTACTTAAAATATTAATATATAATGAAATACAAGTGGCCTAAGGGCCCTGAATCGCTCTTCTGATAAACTGTACAACCTGTCACTTCTATCTGAAGCCTCTAAGTATCCTGTATATTTACATAAAGCCTTGAAATTCCAAAGGTAGGTCATCATGACCTACATTTTAGATGAGCCACTCTGAGAACCCAAGATGATTCTAAGCCAATTAGTACCTGAGAGTAGGTCATGGTGACCTAATTATCACTTGTCATTCTCTGAGTACCCAAGATGCATCAACTAAGTTTGATGATTCTAAGCCAATTAATACCTAAAATACTTTAAAATTATAACCATAAAATTTCAAAGTAGGTCACAGTGAGCTACTTTTCAGATGACATACTTTGAGGACCCAAGATGCATCAACTGACAAAGTTTGATGATTCTAAGCCAATTAATACCTGATATATTTGAATAAAGCCATAAAATTTCTAAAAGTAGGTCACAGTGACCTCCTCTTCAGTTGACTAACTCTGCGGACCCAAGATGCATCGGTGATTCAAAGCCAATTAGTACCTAAAGAATATTTGAATAAAGCAATAAAATTTCAAAAGTAGGTCACAGTGACCTACATTTCAGTCAACTTACTCCGTAGACCAAAGATGCATCAACTGACAAAGTTTGATCATTCTAAGCTAATTAGTACCCGAAATATTTCATTATAGCCATATAAATTGAAAAGTAGGTCACAGTGACCTACTTTTCAGTAGACGTACTCCGAGGACCCAAGATGCATCAACTGACAAAGTTTGATGATTCTAAGCCAATTAGTACCTGAATTTTTTAACTAAAGCCATAAATTTTCAAAAGTAGGTCATGGTGACATATTTTTCAGTTGTTGTACTCTGAAGACCCAAGATGCATCAACTGACAAAGTTTGATGATTCTAAGCCAATTAGAACCTGAAATATTTAATTTAAGCCATAAATTTTCAAAAGTAGGTCACTTTAAACTACTTTTCAGTCGACCTACTCCCTAGACCCAAGATGCATCAACTGACAAAGTTTGAGGATTCTAAGCCAATTAGTACCTTAAATATTTAATTATAGTCATATAAATTGAAAAGTAGGTCACGGTGACCTACTTTTCAGTCGACCCACTCTGAGGACCCAAGATACATCAACTGAGAAATTTTGATGATTCTAAGCCAAATAGTACCCTAAATATTTAAATATAGTCATAAAATTTCAAAAGTAGGTCACGATGACCTACTTTTCAGTTGACGTTTTTAGAGGACCCAGGATGCATCAACTTACAAAGTAATATAAATGTCCAAATTATGCCTCTAAAACGCCTTGAAATCGAATGCCTGCAAAGTTCAAAAAGTAGGTCACTGTGACCTACTTTGTAATAATTACGTTTTATGACCCCAAGATGCATCATCTTACAAGATTTAATGATTCTAAACCTCTAAGTATTCGATTGATTGATTGATTGTATGTTGTTTAACGTCCCTCTTGAGAATTTTTCACTCATATGGAGACGCCACCACTTGCCGGTGGAGAGCTGCAAATTCTGTCCTATACTCGGCACTTACGGCCATTGAGCATTGAGCGACACAGGACCTCGGTTTATACGGTCTCTTCCGAAGGACCAGTCTCCACGTCTCACAGTGGGATTCAAACCCACGACGTAAGGATCAACTCCTTACTTCGCAACTCTAGAGCAGATGCTCTAACCACTGCGCCAAGCGGCGACTCTAAGTATTCAAATTAATGACATTAATTTTTTTTGAAAAAGATTAGCCATAAAATTCAAAAAGTAGGTCAAGGTGACCTACTTTTTAGTTGATGTACTTTGAGGACTCAAGATATATCAACTGACAAAGTTTGATGATCATAGGCCTTAAATTGTTCAAAATATGCCTCTTAATCATTATGAAAAAGAATGGCCACACAATTTAAAAAGTAGGTCATCATGACCTACTTTTGAGCCAACATGATATGAGGTCCTTAGATGCATCAACTGAGAAGACTTGATGATCCTAGTCCTTATAGTAAGCAAAATATCAACATTTTAATAAAATGTAATTTTTGGTCAACTTTGAAGTGACCTTGAGACAACGCCCTTTGCCCAAGGGTGATGCCTTGAACAATTTTTTAATCTACAACATATCCTCTTCCTTTTGTGTAAGTTTGGTGATAATCTGCCAGGTGCTTCTTGAAAAGAATATTTTTTAGCAACCAGTACTTTTGTTTCTATTTTCCTAATTATCTCCCCTTGTTTAAGGGTCACAATCCTAGTTTTAGTATAAACGGGAGCCCTTGGGCGAAGGATACCCTGTGACAAATTTGACAATAATTGGCCAAGGGGTTCTTGAGTTATGGCCCATATTCTAAAAAGTTTACACACACCGCACAAAAGGCCACAGCATAAGCTCTTTGAGCCTGTAGCTCAGAAGAGCTAATAATGATAAAATGTTTATACAGTATAATTTTTCCAAACCGGCTACCCCTGGTTCCATAAAATTTGGTTGGATTAGACAGAATCCGGAATGCAGGAAAAATGCAGGAAAATATTTGAAATTTAATTTCAGTGTTTTATTTACGAGTATAATATATAATATAAAAAATAAATTAAAAAATCAATCAATATTTTAGAGTTTAGAAATTAAAAGAGCATTGCATGACTTACTGTAGATTTTTCTTTTTTGTTCACAAAGTTTGGGACTTAACGTGAAATGTTACCGGAGTCAAAATCTACAGACTCATATATTGTAATATATATCACACAGCCCGGGTTTTGCATGTCAAAGAGCGCATTCAATATAACTATAAACACAACTATATACGATTTGATAAATATTGAATTGAAATTTTAATTTTTATGTAAAAATTTACGTCTTCCCTCCAATGTAATGGCGCTATTTTGGGATGAGAAGTTTGAGTTTCGATCCTGATTTATATTTTGATTTGCAAATCGTGTACCTGTATTGTATTAATTTTTTATTATACTGTGTGATATGGAGTTAAAAACAAGTTAAATGTGTAATTTTTTTTTAATTTACTTGTAATTTAATCTTATATTTTAAGTGGGCTGTGTCACCGCCGCGTTTCAGTTCGTCTCATGGCACTCATGTAAACACACGTTAGCGCATCTTCACGAATGGTGTTAATTGCTTTGAAGTAACTCAGGTTATTATGCGTGGCCGGATTAGAGGAAATAATTACCGTTAATTATGAGCAGTTGGGACCAGTATGGCCGTTCGGAATACAGAATAGACAGTATCCGGTCTACACAGAATTTTTTTCTAATATATTTGTTTAAAAAGTGCATAGGACTAAAATTTATAGCTGGAGTGGACAAAAATCCAGAGTACTCAAGGTCTGGATTAGACAAATTTTACTGTATAAACATTTTTATTGCTTTAAACTGCATTGCTGAAATTCATTTACTACTTCCTGTAGCATGATGCTACTTCTGGTAGCATTCAAACAGCAAGCAAAGGAAGCATTCAAATCAGCATTCAATTTGATGCTATAACAAAATTAATCCCCTGCACAACATTAAATCTAAGTTCCATTGGTTCCTTTATACCCGTGTTTAACCCCCACCCCTACCTCATAAAAATAACTTGAAAAAAAGAACCTTTGCAAAGACCAATATGCAGAGCTGTTTGTTGCACAATTACCTGAAAAAAAATATTTTTACAAACACATACCTTTAAAATCTTAATCCCTTGAAGAGAGGAGATCATTTCAGAAATAAACAAAGGGGGAGGGGGGCAGATATTTTGCAGCTTGTGCTTATAAATATACAAGTGAAACCCTTCAAAAGTTAGATACTTACTTTGGGCGCATGCCTCTTCCTTTTTCACATTTCTCAGTTACAAATGCCATCCACTCTTTGGCAAAGTTAACAAGTCTTTTGCTGAGTTTTTGCTTAGTTTCTCCTGTTACAAGTCTGGTTACTTCTCTAAGATACTGTAGTAACAAATTAAGTAGGTATTCAGTGGTGATAATAATATTTTTTGATAGAAATAGAACATCTTCAACAAATTCTTTAGAATAAAAGACTTGATGACATCATTTGGTGGCACCTATGGATAGTTACAACTCTAGTTTCAAACCACATGAGATTTTATAGAGTTTATATAGAGTGATGGAGTTTTAGAAGATTGACAAGGTATTTAACACATAAAAAAATTTAGGCAAAAAAATCTAAAATGTCCATTAAATTTTTACAGGTAACTGATTTTCATCTGCATAAATGTGTTGTAAATATTCTGTTAAATGTCCTTTCACGTTTTGAAATTCCACTTATAAGTCCTTGCACCCTTACAAGGAATTATTGATTTTCGAAAGCATGCAGTGATCGAAGCTTCTAAATTTTCAAAAAACAAAGAATAATTTTTTTTCACATGGAAGAATAAAGGGTGATGAAATGTTCATGAAGCAAATAAAAAAGGTTAATTAATGAGATCAAGTACCACATATTCATTGAAATAAATTACAATACATACATGTACCTTTCCCTCTCCCCAAATACCACGGTGAATTGATTCATCAGTGCATGTAAGTTAATACTTGTTTTATTGATAAATATTCCATGAGAGGACTAAGAAAAGGTGTGTCATTTTACATAAAATATTAACAATAGGCCAATGGGCTACAACACTCACCTAAGTCACCTTGGCCCTGCTATTCTCAAGATCTGAAGAATATTTTGAAAGATATTTTCCCTCTATATTCCTAGGAAAAATTTTGATCCCATACAGTGGCCCCACCCTACCCCTAAAAATCACAAATTAACCAATTTTGAATCAGATGCTAATATATTCACATTATTGTCACCCTGCTGTTCTTGAGAAGATTTTAAAGATTTTTCCTATCAATTTTCAAATTTCAAAGGTGCATGGAACAGAAATGTGTGTATTGTGTAACATTTTTATTGAAGAAAAGCATGGTAACTTACTACAGCAAAATTTGAAATTTTCAAGATTGCTGAAGAAAGCCAAGACAAGCTGAAATTTCATTTAACAATTTGAGTTGATTTTGTTAAAGTACCACAACAAAAGACATGAACTAGCGAAACATGCAACAATAGTTTCAGCTTAATTAACTTGTTTGCTATTGATATTCATAGATGATGGCAAAAATGAAGACACTACATGATCAATGAATTTGTATTTTGGCATTGGCATGTTTTGTCAGATCATCTTTTAGTTCCTGATACCATAGACAAGTACAAGTTACGCAATATACAATAATTAAGGCTATATGCTGTCCTCAGTTACTTTCTTTTACTTACCCATACCAAAATAAAGTACAAAAAAGTATACTTTAATGCTACTTTTGTACTATATAAATTTGTGCTTTTTAGAAAAAGGTCAGAAAAAGTATACTTTTTTTGTACTGGGCCAGATACCTCTAAAAGCTGATGACCTTTTTTTGTACTTTATTTGGACTTAGTTTTTCTCCACAGTACTTTTTTTGTACTTTTTAGGACTTAGTTTTTTTCCACAGTACTTTTTTGTACCTAATTTGGACTTAGTCTTTTTTCACTGTACTAAAAATGTACTTTTCTGGGACTTAACCTTTTTTGGCAAAATCGGTAAAATAAGGATGTATTTTTTATATAGCTAATTTGGATTTAGCTTTTTTCTCATTGCAGTGTTAAAAATTAATTTTGAAATTTCAAGCAGATTATTCAATGATTAAAAAAAAAATGTAAAGTGATGAAATGATATTACAATCTATGTATGATGTTAATACATAGTGTTTAAAAAAATGTGGAAAAAGACAGGGGGTGTAGAACACAGTTTTTATCAAATGAACAATTTGTTCATATAAAAATTATTAATTACATTATTCTTATGATTTAATATGGTTTTATTCTAATGTGAGCATTCATAATCCAATTATATTATTAGCATGAGAGTATAGGTATATGTATATTTGTTGCAGGAAAAGGGGGGATGAACATTATTGTTACAAATGCCAATGGTTTTAAGATTATTGATTCAGTTGAATAATTCATAGGGAATAAAATAAAATCTGTTATTGCTCCTTTAGTCTTCTCTCTTCACCTACGAAATATTTTAGTTCTGAAAATTAGGAAGGGGGGTGGGGGGGGGGATAGTCTTATATACATGTATCAATATTTTTATCATACAGTGTCCATTTTATGTTCAACAGAAGTCCTAAATTATTCATGTTATTATAATCATCAAGATCTAGTGAACCTTCTGTAAATTACATTGTAAATTTGAATAGTCTTGAGTAATTATCTCCCCCTCCTCTCTCTCTCTCTCTCTCTTGGGAAATACAAAAATGTAACATTATTTAATGGGAAATCTTCTACAATATTCTGCAAAGGGAATGCTATATATCAACATGAACAAGTAGTCCAGTTATATTTCACAACTCTCTCTCTCTCGTGTGCAAACCATGTTGATTTCAAGAGACACAGGTGTTTGTACTTAATGACCTTTGTTGTCTAGACTTGTGGAAACTTTTCACAATAAGATTTGGTGAATCTTTACGAAATAACCTATAATAGATTTGGCTATCATGGTAAATAAAACGGATTAGCATGATTAATGAGAAATACGGGCTAAATTAATAAAAGTAAAATAGGGTTTATAGTGTTACATATTTTAATAATTAAAAACGGAAATAGGAAGGCACGAATATAAATACAAAAGCTTCCAAGATGCACCATGCCCATCGTTTTATTTATCACAAGGAACTTCGTCATGTTTACATGTACATGATTTATACAAGTAGCATGTGCAAAATTCCATGCTGTAACAGATATTTCGACATTGAGAATGAAGACTGCCAGTTTTATTAGGATGTTTTAGCAGTTAACAAGGGCATTCAGAATTTCTTGTGGCTTTATTAAATAAAATAATTTCATTTTTAAAAAAAAAACAACAAACAAACAAAATGGCGACGACGATCATAAAACGAACTGGCGATCACGATGATGGTAAAGCTTCCTATCGAGTATTACATAGAAAACGGCTTTAAAATAAATTTGATGACTTAAAAAACATTATTACGGGAATTTTTGGTGTTTATATGAACTAATTTAGTAATTATTTATTTCCTTTTTTGATCACGTGATTCTTACGAAGTCTACGATTGGTCAACATCGAAGCGCGGATTTTTTCAGAGACGATTTGAAAATTGGTGGGATGGAAATGCTGAGAACAAAAAGGAGATAAAGAAGTCGGTAAGACTATATTTATATTTAAATTTTATATGTTGTTAGCAGGAAATGCATTTTACCACTTTAGAAATGTATTCAGTGGAGAATTTCAACGTAGATTTTACGTAATTGTGGACATTTGTGTCTTCGATTTCTGGTTTGTTTTGATCAGTATGACGATGTATATAAACTTAAGTTTACATACTGAAACATGCTTTTTCTCTGGCTCATTGTAACATGAATCATTTAGTTCCTTGACATATTCAATTCTTCAAATATTTCAGTATAATTCATGCAATAGGTTTATAATACAGTCAGCATTGGTCAGTATCTGGGAAAATTTACTGTAGCCTAGCTAAGTCTTGGCATGATAAAAATAAATACATATCAAATCTACTGAATTTTGTAAGATTAAAGTTTGTAAAAGTAATGGATGTTTGTTAAACATGTTAAAAGGGAGGATAGTTTGTGTGTTGTGGTTGGTAGTGGTGGTGGTGGTGGTGGGGGGGGGGGGTGGGGGGTTGAAGGGGTAGTAATAATCATGTGGTTGATTAAACAAGCAAAAAGTATCAGCATTTACATGTATCTGAAAAATTTAAAGTTGAACTGGATAGTTATACTGATCATCTTTCCAGGGTGAAAAGAACTTAAAAGGAGGGGGCTATATAAACATAATATTGAGGCACATGATTATTTTTTCTATTTGCTCATATAACATTAGGAATTCAGACAGGGATATCAAACTCACTTTACAATTTTTCAAAATCATTGTCAGGTTTAAAAAAAATGAAAATAATTAAATGTTTGTGTGTGGATATAATGCAGGAGAAGTTCTTAAACATTCAAGTTGCCTGATTTTTCTTTTATAATTTTCAGCAGTGCATGCATGTGTTTTTTGCCATGAGCATCTCACTAACATGCAGAGCCATAGGAAAATGCTTCAACAATTTAAGTGTATCTTATCATCAGCAAGTACATATTAATCTAATTTGATTTCTGTAAATTACAAAATAGACGTATCAAATTAGTAGTCTTGTCTGTCCTTAATATACTCATGCACTGAAAAGACTTATTTTAAAATTGTATAAGTGATAGGGATGATCGAGGGTTAATTTTTTGGATTTTCACATAAGAATTTTGAGTTTTAATTGGTTTTCAAGTTATTTGAATATTAAACTGAATATATGATTCTGCCATGTATTTAGCACAGGAATGCTGCTTTTTGAGAACATGTTTGATTTAAAACTGAAAAAAATATGCTTTGTTTATTTAACTTTTTCTGCAGAACCCAAGGAAAAGTACTTGAAGACTGAAATCATTTAGCATATTCAAATGAAGATCAGTGAAAAAATGGGTGACATTAACACTGCTATGCGGTCAAAGGTTAGTGCACCGAATTGTGTCAGCAAGAAAATTCAAACGGGAGGGAAAGATGGGATGGCTAGACTGTGAAGGAGCAGAGATGATCTGTGAGCGGATCAATCAGTGACATAACCATGCATTATAAGTTACTAGACTATAAAGGATCAGATCTTGTTATTTACAGAATTATAATCTTGTTGATGATTTAATGTTCCAATATATTCTTTAAATTATTTATGGAAGATTAGTACTGAAAATAATGAATAATGTAATGAAGATGTGGAGGTTCATGTTTCTGAATTTTGATAAAAGCTAGCATTTAAGATTTTTGAATTGTAGCTAATATTTCATAGAGATTTCCCGATTTCCGGTTTCTCAGATTTTTTTCTGATAAGCTGAATTTTTTTCCCTATACTTCATATTTTTGTTAAAATTTCATGCTTTCAAAATACAATTTTGTACTTTTTATTGGTTTTATTTTAGTAAACCTGAGCTTAATGGCCATTTTTGAGGTTTTTCATTGTTCTTTCAAAATAATATATATGTATTTAAAAAAAAAAGGGGGGGGGGGGGTATTTCCTATATATTTCTTTTTTTTGGTGGGGGGGGGGGGGGGGGGGTGCTTTTTCCCTACTTTTTTTGTACCAATTAAAAAGTATACATTTTTCGTACTTTCATTTAATTTTGACATTTTATTGTACTTTTTTAAGCATCAATCTGAAGAAGTACTATTTTTATACTTTTTCTGCATACATTTTTGTACTTTTCTCTGGAAGTATACTTTTTTTGTACTTCATACATTTTTGTACTTTTTTCTGGAAGTATACTTTTTTTGTACTGGAAGTATACTTTTTTTGTACTGGAAGTATACTTTTTTGGTACTTCATACATTTCTGTACTTCTTTCTGGAAGTATACTTTTTTTGTACTGGAAGTATACTTTTTTTGTACTTCATACATTTCTGTACTTCTTTCTAGAAGTATACTTTTTTTTGTACTTTTGTATGTTAGTTTTAAGAATATACTTTTTCTGTACTTCCAATTATACTTTTTATGTACTTTTCTCAAATATAGAAATGTACCAAAAGTATACTTTTATTATCTTTTTTTTTGTACCCAAGAACCTAAGTTCTCATAAAGCACAAAAAAAGTATACTTTTTTTGACTTAATTTGGAACGACCAAATCCCTTGTTCCAAATTTAGTCGAAAAAAGTATACTTTTTGTGACCTTTTTTTGTACTTTTTTTCCGTACTTTATTTGTACTTAATTTTGGTATGGATACTGCAATATATTTGTAGTGGAATTCATTTTACATAGTGGCTAACTGTACTTAACAGTTGGCATTGTCTATGTTAATCCAAGCTTGTGTTGCTGGAAATTACAGTGAACTTCCATACAAAGGACTGTACATGATGAGAATCAATTTTGGCCCCCATAAATGTATTTTTTAAATGTGATTCAGGTGTGTTAAACTGTTTTTATTAGTAGAAAAATGAAATTCTAGATATTTTAAATACATTTGTCTCATTTATATGCCATTACTGGTCTATTGTAAATGATGTCAGAAATGAAGAAGTGTTTGAAAATAAGCAATTTTATACAAAATATGTTAAAATGGCAGGGCAAGGTGAACTTCATGATGTCATATTTCTAAATCAATGGCATTTTGATCAAATTGAAAATCATGAATTAATGTCACAAAGTAAACCTATAAATAAAGTAAAATTAAGATATTAATTTTAAGAGGCCATTTGATACATATTATCATATATAATTCTTTTCTAATTGCTAAGCAAAAATTGGGAGAAAAGTATGACCCCTTGAGTCAATTATTTTTTGACTGGAACTACATTGCATAAGGTATGATTTATCATGACCCTGCTGTTCATGAAAAGGTTTCTAAAAATACTTCTTATACATATTTCAATATAAAACTATTATCCTCTATCCTATCCCCTGGGGACATAAACTGTACAAACTGAGTCCACACTATATAAGGAAACATTTACTTAACTTGTCTTTTCTGGACAACAGAATATTTTTAAATAGTGCCACCAAATTTTCACTACAGCATATTTCTCAATTTTCTCCCCTTGAAAGGAGACTATGCCTCTTCATTTGAACAAACTTGAATCCTCTTTACCCAAAGGTGTATTTTTTGTAAGTTTGTTTGAAATTGGTCATGTGGTTCTTTAAAAAATGTTAAAATAGGTAAACTTTATACAGATGACACACAACAGGCTGCAGACAGATGGATGCTGAATGCTCTCTTATCAGACAAGCTTATTTAAGCCTTTGGTTCAAGTGAGCTAACAAATATTCTTAAACTCTATCACATAATTTTTGGAAGTTTAATCTTCACACTTAAAACACCACTCTTTGATATATTTAAACAATCTAGTCACATGTACAACACATTTATAAATCTTCAAATGATCAAGACTTGTATCTAAATTAAATGATGAGATTTTTGAATAATATATGTTCCTCACATGATTCTTGCATGAAACATGCACAAATCTCTTACTTTTCTCACACATTTGCTAAACAGTTTACACAAAATGTATTGAGGCCCCATAGTTTACACAAAGTGTGACAATGTTTGCATGAATCTGCACTGTTTACAGAAAATCTACATGGTTTGACTAAAACGAAAAGTGCATGATCAAGTCACACATTTTAATTGAGGCAGAATGTTAAAAGGTTGGTATTTTAAAACATTATGAAAGTAAAACAAATTATCACTCTTTTGTTGTTTTAAATTTGATTTTCATTGGTGCCTTGAGAAAAAATTAAATAATTGGTTTTAATTTTCATGAATTATTATAAATGTACAATATTCAATATAAAAAAAATATATTCAAAATAATTTTTATGGTAGATAAAGAACTGAAAATTCACAAGTCTAGAAGTATTGATAGACAATTTTCAATCTACCAAATTTGGAAGGTTACATATCTGCCGATTTTTAAACACAAATACCCCTGGGCTCCATAACATTCTGCTTTCAATATTGTTAGTCAAGTGCCTGTTATCAGAGTACAGTGGTTCCCGTTTTATCCAATAGTCAAGTTGTCAGCCTAGTTTTATCCGAATAGCCGAAAATTAGAATAGCCGATTGCTCCATACCGAATCGAAAGATAGATGTATAGAGCTACATGTATTGATAATACATCGTAGCAAATTTCAAGCTTGCACTTTCGTTTTCTTTTGACATGTTTACTTAATGACTTTACTAAAAATAATTCATTTCACTTACTTATGAATTTAAAATGAAATTTTTTTTCAAATAAATTGACGTATAGAATATATTCTTTGATAGTTATTATCATCTTTCTTCAGCACATGTTTACATTCCTTCTTCGATGGTCGCCATTTTTGAAACGGAAGTAGACTAAATGCTTGACTAATAACCGTAAACTATTTTTCCCTAGATAGATTGTAAATTAAAAATAAACAAAAATATTAAATATATGTAATTGTTTCATTTTTATCTGTTTCTTTAATACGGTTACGTATTTTATACTGTGTGTGAGTTTACCAGTCTCGTTCTTGTCTGCTGAAGAGAGATTTTGAGAGCCATGTGGAGAAAGATGGTATGAATTTTGAGACGTATTTTTATAGAACGGGTCATTTGTGATTTTTACCATAAATTTTGCACTGAAAAGTGAATAAATATTAAGCCAATTGACCAAGTTAAATGATTGAATAGGTTTATTTCATTATCCAAGCAAATTTTCATACACAAGCTAATCAGTTCAACAATTAAAATTTCACGCCGAAAAAATTGCAAATAATTGTCATAATTAACAAGTGCATCATTGAACCCAAGCTGATCACCACAACTGTAATCAAAACATATCTATTTACTATGCCCACTATTGACACAGGTAAGGTGCCTGTGTGCGTCCAGGCGTAACTAATCCCCTCATTGTCATACTCAAGCCAGTCAAGGTGATTGGTGTCAAACTGTGTAAACAAAGGCTTCACATACGAAGTTGGAGGTGTGAACAAGGTGCTGATTATCAAAAAACACTATGATAGTCCAAATTTTTGTATCGGATAAAACGAAATTCCAATATTTTCTCATCAGAATATCAGGTGAAATTATTAATAAATATATAAGAAATGGTTTTGTGCTCTGATATTATATTGAAATAGCCGAAATATTCGTTAAACCGCTATCCGATAAAATGGAAGCCACTGTATTAGAGACTTTACCTCAAATCCAAAATTATATCCTTTAAGCATTGTTTCTCTGTATAAGTTTAGAAGGTGGTTTCTTTCATTGTCATCAAAATTTGCCATATCTTCACAGTAAAACTTGTCATCCACTTGCTTTATAGCTTGAACAACTCTTTCTTGAAGCTCCATGGCAGATCCCTAAAATGAACAACAACCTTGATTCTGCAATATACTTATTAATAACAAAACTGAATTTTTAGTAAGGATGTATTCACCATTTCAAAAGAATTGATCTATAGGAGAGAACAATTTCACGGAAAAATTTTATTTAGGTCAGTATGAGTGACATATAGCATGATGTATATTTCATCATCTGCTTATAGTTTTTTTGACATTCTATCTCGGTAGCAAAATGGAGATGAAATGTCAAGAAATTTCACAACCCTTGAAACAAATTATTGTACTTTATTCAAATGGAGAAAAAATGTCAACAATTGCAAGAACTGTCAATAGATCTCTGGCTTCTGTGTATCGAATTGTCCGTAAATTTCAAAGCACTGGATTGGTGGAAAACTTGCCAAGATCGGGCTGGCCTCATCCCATTGACAGTTGGGAATATTGGAGGCTCCAGAGAATTGTAAACAGAGATCGGAGAACACCCTTAGGAGAAATATCTGCACGATTTAATGAAAACAGAACAACATCAGTGTCTCAGAAGACTGTCAAACATAGACTTAAAGAAAATGGCTTTACTAGAGGTATGTATAAGAAAAAAGTTGTAATTAAAAATGTTAACCGAAAGAAGCACCTGTCGTGGTGTAGGGAGAAGAGGTGGTGGGATGTGCAAAATCAGTGGTCAAAAGTGATATTCAGCGATGAATCTCAGATATGTGTCGATGAAAACAATCGTGTTTATGTTTGGAAAAAAGCAGGTAAGGGTTGGAGACCTGACTTGGTGCCATGACAAAATGGCTGCAAATTCAGCATTATGGTGTGGGGGTGCGTTTCAGCTGCATCAGAACCTTGGGTCGAGTGGAAGGGAACATTAATTCAGAAAAATATATAAACATCTTAGATACAAACCTCTGGCCAGTTATGGTGCGGCATTTCCCACACAGAAGTTATCTTTTTCAAGATGATAACTCTACCATACATCATTCTTGTGTTACACAGGATTTCATTGCCAGAAATCAAATAAAGAACATGAGATGGTCTGCACAGTCTCTGGACTTAAATATCATTGAAAATGTATGGCTTTATATTAAAAAAAAAACTCCAGTCCCAGATGCTCAATATAAATTCCGCAGACGAACTTTTCCAACACACACTTAGGATATGGCAGTACATCAACGTAAATTATGTCAAAAACCTTTATCATTCTATGCCAAGAAGAATACAGCAGGTCATCAGGTTAAAAGGTCATCTTTCTAAATATTGAGGTAAGTTATTTTCTGGTTTTATCCTAGTCAGTCAGCTGTCAAGACGGTTTTTCGCAGGAGTTGTCTCTCTTGTGTTGGAAACGTGACGCCATCTTTTTCTCAACACTTTTGTCCCCTTACTGTATCTGTGGATTTTTTTTTTTTTTACAAGAACTATAATGCTAGTAGTAAATAAATAGCTGACTACTCGTAGATTTATTTACATCTTTAATGAAGCTTCAAAGCAGGCAAATTTGGTTGCTGGCTCACATATGAATTTTTTTTAGAGTTCTGCTTTCTTATCAAAGGAAATAGTCACTGATTCTGATTCTGATATTTTACATAATTTCTTGATGTGTTAGTATACATAATAAGATTAGTATTTCAACACTATCTAAAGCTTTCTCATAAAGGATGTTTGTTATATTTCCCTGGCACTACCTCTTGATCTGCTGTAATTAAATGATAATGTATACCTTTAATTCTGTTAAAGACTCTGCAATGGCTTGATGACAAGAAGTCTGCTCATTTACTAGTTGTACTGTTTTTCCCATCAAAGACTCAAACTCCTTTCTTTGTGCACTAAGCTGAGATGAATGAATCACAACAAGTAGTAAACCTTCTACCTATAACACACAGAAGATATAATGTGTTATACAATGTCACTGGCTGTTGCAATACAATAAAACATCTTTTATTTTATGATATTCAGAAGTTTATAAAAACTAAAATTGTCCTTAAAGGACTAATACCCACATAGGGCAACCTTAGAATGTTCTATTGTTAAAATGATATTGTCCTAATGTTTAATGATAGAATTTGTTCTGTGGTATTGGCAATGTAGCAAAATAAACACAGGTGATAACTCCAACTCAGTGCATTTACTATGAACTATTAAGAGAGTTCTGAATGTCAACATGGCGTTAAATTGGAGGCAAAAAAATGTTGAGAAAATGAGTTGAATTTTCGTCTTTATATGGATTATTTTTTAGGTTAAAAGGCAAATACAATTTTAAAAAGGTTTTATGATTAATTTGGAAGTAATTTTCAGTGCAACTCTTTTTGTATTCATCAAAATCATTTTGAAGCAAATCCACCTGAGTTTGCTACATTGCAACTACATTGGATGTATTCTAACTGTGGTGAGGGCTTGTCCTGAGACAGTTATTCTAAATAGGGCAACCTGAAAAAGGGCTCATTTAAAAAAAACTAAAACAAGAACTCCACCATCTTGCAAAAAACAAGAGGCCCAAGGGCCATGAATTGCTCTTCTGATAAATTGTACAACCAGTATCACTTCTATTTGAAGCCTCTAAGTATCCTGTATATTTAAATAAAGCCTTGAAATTCCAAAAGTAGGTCATCATGACCTACATTTTAGATAAAACACTCTCAGAACCCAAAATGATTCTAAGCCAATTAGTACCTGAGAGTAGGTCATGGTGACCTACTTATCACTTGTCATTCTCCGAGGGCCCAAGATGCATCAACTAACTAAGTTTGATAATTCTAAGCCAATTAATACCTGACATATTTAAATAAAGCCATTAAATTTCAAAAGTAGGTCATGTTGACCTAGTGCTACTTTTTAGCTGGCATACTACGAGGACCCAAGATGCAACAACTGACAAAATTTGATCATTCTAGGCCAATAAGTACCTGATATATTTAAATAAAGCCATAAAATTTCAAAAGTAGGTCACGCTGACTTCAATCTAATTAAAATTAGATGTTCCAAATCTGCTACCGCTTCTCAAACATCTAACAACATCCCGTTAGGGGTCACGTCAGAGCGACCTTTCGATTATGAATAAACAGAAAAATTTTGGCCAATCAGATTCAACCTTCTGTATACGATTCTAAAATTAGTTCCACGGCAACATCTTAACATTATTGATGCTCAGTAGACTGTCTTACGTTGAATTAAATTAATTTTGGTATAAATTGAACGTATAGTCCGCCAATCTGGTATTCTTACCTAAATAATGCAAACGAAAATGCACAAACTACATGTATACGTCTATATATCGCACATGTCACATTCATATTTATCACGGTCTTTACCATGCATATTTTGTTTACTACGAAACTCCTCAGGCATTTAGGTTTGGCAGTAAAAAAAGAAATGCATCCGAACTATAAACCAAGATTTCAGAGATGGCGATTTCATTGGGTAATCGAAAGGTTGCTCCGACATGACCCCTAATGGGATGTTGTTAGATGTTTGAGAAGCGGTAGCGGATTTGGAACATCTAATTTTAATTAGATTGCGCTGACTTACTTTTCAGTCAACTTACTCCAAGGACCCAAGATGCATCAACTGACAAAGTTTGATGATTCTAAGCCAATTAGTGCCTGAAATATTTGAACAAGAGGCCCATGGGCCACATCGCTCACCTGAGCACATTGGCTAGGAAAAAGAACAAATCAGTTCAGTATTAAAAAGTTTAAAGGGGAGGGGGGGGGGGGACTTGAATTTTAAACTACCTGAGGTTGCTTCCATATCAATATAACAAATGGCTTTGTTGTTCTTGAGCAGAAGATTTTTAAAGATTTTTTACTATATATTCCCTTGGTAAAAATTTGATCCCCCATTGTGCCCCCCCCCCCCACCCCCTGGGGGTCATCATTTGAACAAACTTGAATTTACTCTACCTGAGGATGCTTCTAATATGACTAAACATGGCTTTTCTGTTCCTGAAAAGATTTTTTCCTATATATTCCTTTGTAAAACTTTGATCCCCCATTGTGACCCCATCCTAACTCTTGGGGGTCATGATTCAAAAAAGTTGAATCTACACTATCTGAGAATGCTTCCATATCAATATGATTTAACAAAGCTTTGCTGTTCATGAGAAGAAGATTTTTCAAGTTTTTCCTATATATTCCTATGTAAAACTTTGATCCCCCATTGTGACCCCACCCTACCCCCGGGGGTCATCATTTGAACAAACTTGAATCTACATCACCTGAGGATGCTTCCATATCAATATGACCAATCATGGCTTTGCTATTCTTGAGAAGATTTTTTCCTATATATTCCTACGTAAAAACTTTGATCCCCCATTGTGACCCCACCCTACCCCCGGGGGTCATCATTTGAACAAACTTGAATCTACACCACCTGAGGATGCTTCAATATCAGTATGACCAATCATGGCTTTGCTATTCTTGAGAAGAAGATTTTTTCCTACATTTTACTATGTAAAACTTCCGATCGTCCATTGTGGCCCCACCCTACCCCCGGCGTCATTATTTTAACAACTTGAATCTACACTACCTGAGGATGATTCCACATGAGTTTAATCTTTCCTGGCCAAGTTGTTTTTGAAAAGAAGATTTTTAAAGATGCTATTAATTTTTCACTAATTTGTAATTATCTCCCTTGGAAAAGGGCATGACCCTTCATATGAACAAATTTGAATCCCCTTCACCCAAGGATACTTTGTGGCAAGTCGAAAATGTGAAAAGTTTACAGACAGACGGACAGATGGACGCTGGACAAAATGTGATCAGAAAAGCTCACTTGAGTCTTCAGCTCAGGTGAGCTAATAAAGCCATAAAATTTCAAAAGTATGTCATGGTGACCTACTTTTCTGTCAACTTACTCTGAGGACCCAATATGCATCAACTGACAAAGTTTGATGATTCTAAGCCAATTTGTACCTGAATATTAAATTATAGCCAGATTAATTGAAAAGTAGGTCACGGTGACCTACTTTTCAGTAGATGTACTTTGAGGACCCAAGATGCATCAACTGACAAGGTTTGATGATTCTAAGCCAAATAGTACCCAAAAATATTTAAATATAGCCAAAAAATTTCAAAAGTTGGTCACAGTGACCTACTTTTCAGTTCTTGTTCTCCGAGGACCCAAATGCATCAACTGACGAAGTTTGATGATTCTAAGTCAATCAGGACCTGAAATATTTAATTAGAGCCATAAATTTTCAAAAGTAGGTCACAGTGACCTACTTTTCAATCGATTTACTCCTAGGACCAAAGATGCATCAACTCACAAAGTTTGATGATTCTAAGCCCATTAGTACCTGAAATATTTAATTATAATCATATAAATTGAAAAGTAGGTCACAGTGACCTACTTTTAAGTTGACCTACTTTGAGGACTCAAGATACATCAACTGACAAAGTTTGATGATTCTAAACCAAATAGTACCCAAATATTTAAATATAGCCATAAAATTTCAAAAGTAATTCACAATGACCTAGATTTCAGTTGACGTTTTTCGAGGACCCAAGATGCAGCAACTTACAAAAATATACCTCTAACACGCTTTGAACTCGAATGCCTGTAAGGTTAAAAAAGTAGGTCACTGTGACCTACATTTTAATAAATATGTTTTATAGCCCCAAGATGCATCCTCTTACAAGATTTAATGATTCTAAACCTCTCAGTATTCAATTAATGACCTTAAATCAAGGTGACCTACTTTTTAGTTGACATACTTCGAAAACCCAAGATACATCAATTGACAAAGTTTGATGATCATAGGCCTTAAATTGTTCAAAATATGCCTCTAAATCATTTTGAAAAAAATTTAAAAAGTAGGTCACCATGACCTACTTTTGAGTCAACGATACAGTCCCTGAAACGTTCTACAAATCCATTTGAACGGTGAGCAAATGCTGAATGAAAGCAGAGCGAACGGTGAGCGAATGTAGAGAGAACAGTGAGAGAACGATGTGTGAATGCTGAACGCAACTTGGTGATTGAACGCAAGCACAAATTGAACGGTGAATGGAAGATGAACGATTTATTCAGAATGCCTCTGATCTTTTCCATGCATTGTATCTATTCTTTTGTATTCTAATGTCAGGTGAGCGAATGTAGAGAGAACGGTGAGTGAACGAAGTGTGAACGATTTATTCAAAATGCTTCTGATCTTTTCCATGCATTGTATCTATTCTATTGTATTCTAATGTCAGGTGAGCAAATGTAGAGAGAAGGGTGAGTGAACGATGTGTGAACACTGAACGCAACTTGGTGAACAATGAACAGTGAGTGAACACAGAACGCAAATGGAGCGTGAATGTGAGTGCAAATTGAACAGTGAACAGAAGATGAACGATTTATTCGGAATGCCTCTGATCTTTTCCATGCATTGTATCTATTCTATTGTATTCTAATATCAGGTGCAAAAATAAATAAATAAATATTCAAAAATTGTCATAAGAAAGATGAAACATGCACATTAAATAACAAGATGTGTTTGTGAAACACTGATGCCCCCGTATGGCAGCTTATGGCGAAGGTTAAAGTTTCTTCAAATGCAACTCAAAATCCAGGCCAAAAGATAAGAAATGTTGATACCCAAAGAAAGGTCTTGTCTCGAGGAATACACCTGTGAAATTTGAAAGACCTAGATACAACTGTTCAAAAGTTATGGCGAAGGTTAAAGTTTTTTAAATAAAAGTCAAACGTCAAGGTCAAGGTCAAAGTGGTTGGTATCCAAAGGAAGATCTTGTCACAAGGATTACATTTGTGAAGTATGAAAGCCCTAGCACCAACCATTTAAAAGTTATGGCCAAGTTTAAAGTTTTTCAAAAGTAAGTCAAACTCCTAGGTCAAGGTCAAAGGGTCAAAGTGGTTGGTACCCAAAGGAAG